GCCGCCCCGCCCTCCTCCCGTCCCCGGCAGCGCCCCGAGGAGGGGCCAGGGCAGCCCAGAAGACCCCGAGGCAGCAGTGGCCTTAGGCAGCGTACTTTATTGCCGGGCTCTCACAGGCGCTCGCTGATAGCTGGGAGAGAAAGCGCAGTTAGCGAGCACGTTAAATAAATAACTTGCAATAAATAAATAACCCCTCCCACTACCTCCGCAGGTGGGGCTGTGGTACAGACTCGGCAGTAGTTATGGGATTAGCCTTAAAATAGCTCCAGCATGTGTTGAATCCACTCAGTTTAGGGCTGCTATAAGCTTTGGGTTACCAGCTCCTAGTAGCTCGCTGCAGCATTTGATGAACAGGAGGAGCAAGGAGGCTCCCAAAGAATCAAGAGAAACTCAAGTTCCCCAGGAACCAATTGGTCTGTGCAAGCTGAGGCACAGGAGCCGGGCTCGAGAAAGCCTTCAGGGGTGTGGTGGCCAGACTGCCGAGTTAGTTACCATTAACACGATGCAACGCTACTTCTTTCTCTAGTTCTAAGGGCTACACTATGATGCTATAATGCCAATATTTACAAAAAAATACCCTGGACTCATTTTAAAACTCCTCTCCTAGTGCTTCTGCCCACCCAACCCCAGCAGATACTCTATATGTTTGCAAGCCACACCGCCTGTGGGCAAGGAATTTCAAGATGACTTCTGTCTCTCTCCCCCCGAACCCCTCCAAAGCTTGCTTTTCCAAATGACCTTAATATGCTGTGGCAGGCCTCACAGAAGGGAACTCAGTACAGCAGAGGAGCCAGACAGCACCATGCAGTACTTACTGCAATCTAGCTTATTTGCTATATTTGCTTTGGCAAGTCTTGGACACGTGGAGGAGGAAGCAGAGACAGGTGGCATGGCAATACCCGAGCCCTCCTTTTCTAGGAACTTCAGGAATTTCTCTACCTTTGATCATATGCAGGTGCAGCTTTACTGGGAATAATTATAATGGAGCACAAGTGCAGAGCTGCCGCTGGCAATTTAACCACTCTATTGTCTAGGCCAAGTCTGAACACAGTTAGTTACACAACAAAACACTGGCAAGCGGCCTGCACTAGCACTCCCACTGCTCCAGCAGCTGGTGAACTGTGAGGGGGAGCCCCGGTGAGAGAATACTCGGCTATTTCAAAGTGGAGGCAGAGCTAGCGTCTGCTGGTTTGTCTTGGCTGCCAGCAGAGGGTAGCATAACTCTGCAGCTGGAAATAGCTTCTGCAGAGGAGCTATTCCTGCACCAATTTGGAGCTAGACAAAAGGCAGAGTTCTTCTGGGAAGAGACGGGTGGACCTGGCAATGGGGACTGGCACAGCCGCACACACACTGGTGATGTGGACAGAACCCACCATCACAGCAGATGCTCTGGGAGGAGGTGCTGTTCCTCCAGTGGGTTCTGGAGAAACCCAAGATGGGAACGGTGCCCACCCTTGCAACCTTCAGTTTTCAGAGGAGTCTGTCTCTTCATTGGAGCCTTCGCTCTCAGCATCCATTTTTCGCCGATGGTGTAGAGGTTTCCAGGGAGAGTTAATCCTGGGTGAGTTACGGACGGGCAAATTAGCTGCGTCCCCGCTGGAACTGGTGGGACCAGAGACGGAAAGCCCTGAAACCTGAGCTACCCTGAAAGAGAAAAGACAAATGCTAGGCAGCCTAACTTGTCATCTCCAACCTTTACTGTAGCAGTTTTGGAGTGAATCTGGGAGGAGGACTTACAACTAGCACAGGGATGGAAAGATGTTCATGGCACAGAAGGGGAACCTTGCACTAGTACCTACCAGACTCACTGTGTGAATCTTTCTTCCTGTTTAAACAGATCTTTCTTCTGGGCTGAGCCTGTGTCCTCCAACACTCCTAGTTTTCACCATCCAAACAAAATTCCCCTGTTCATTAGAGACTGCTGCTTCCTCTAGATCCCTCTTTGAGGCACACTTTCCCTCTCTGTTTCTAAAGCCTTTTCTAAAGATTTTGTTAGCTGCACCAAGGCACCCCAAAGAAAGGGGCCCTCTCTGCTCAGGCTGCTCTGTTAGCTCCTCTGTTGTTTTATAGTAGAGCAAAGGAATAGGGACAGTTCTTTACTAAAGCCTTCCTTAACATGCTACCTTTAATCTGTTGTTTTACCTCCCACTTTAGGTAACTCCACTTACAGTTTCTCAAGTTCCTGATCCATGGCAGGGTCCAGAAACAAGTCTCCTTTATCTGGCAAAGCCCCTGGAAAAAAAAACAAAGGAAAGTGTCAGAGCAGCGTTAGGCTATTCATTCTTAAAGAAAAGCGCTCAAGCCATAGCAGCATCCAAAAAATCTGTCCTGCAAGACAGAGAAGACTCTTCCTTATACCTATCAGAGAAATGGACACTGAATGTTGAGGATCATGGACAGATGGTAAAGAATGATAATCCATATTCTGTATCCTTCACACAGGCTGTAGCTGAGCTCAGACTAAATGGGAGGCACTCTCAGTAGTCTCACCTCTCAGAGAACTTGAAAAGCCCTAAGGATTGGCAGTTTCCATTCACTATACAAAACTACTGAGTATTGACTGTCAGAGCGATGACAGTCTGTCAACCTTGGGCCTCTGCTAATTGCCCTATATCGTCACCAGTCCCAGATCCTATCAGAGCAATAGATATGTTGTTGTCTGTGCCACAGCTTGAAGCATGCACTATACCACCCAGGGAGATGTATACTTCTGTGCCACCTGCCTTTCTTGTGGTGCACTGAGCTTGGGGATCAAAACACTCCACAGATACAAGACTATTGCTTTCCTTGCAATTCAGGAGAGTCAGGCCTGACTCTGGTGCACATTAAATCTACAGGAGTAAGTGTGAACGGACTGTGCTCTAGCATTGCTTGCTCTCTGGGTGAGAGAGTGAAAGGCTGGGCCAGTAATCAGGTATCCTTTCTCAGTATGAGGTCAGCATGCTCCTTTTCACATTTGAAACCCTACTCAGGATGAAGGACATGGTGTAGTTCAGGACTGGAAGAGCTGGTTGATCATCCTTGCCATTCTGTGAAAGGACACTGGCACCTCAGGAAGAGCCCAGAAAGGAAGATGGGACTCTTAGGAAACCCCTCCTTCCCAATTCTTTAACAAACTCCACCTTGTACAGAGATCATGGGAGGGTGTGATCAGCCAGCACAGAGATGACAGAAATTGCCTGCCACAGCATGAATAGTGCCACTGCACACCAGAAAAAATATGCTTGGTAATCTGTACCAACAGTCCAGTGAGGAACGCTCTTGTTTTTCAGGAGCCCTGGGTGCTACACTCAGTACCTTTGGGAAGGGGCTTTGTATTGCCCTGTGGGGACACAAATCTGGTTTCTGGTCCTGGCACTTTGGTCTTGAAGGAGGGGCTGGAGAGCCAGCTGCCTCACACAGGCAAGCTGGCAGCAATCATCAAAAACGTAGCAATGAGTGCCTAAAAATTAGAACCAGGTTAGACCAGAAACGACTCCCCTACTTCTTCCAGTTCTGGTCTTCCCCTTCTGCAAATGAACAGGAAAGCCTGGCACTGCAACACAGAGTGTCCGGAGGTCCGGAGGTCCGGTGAAGTGCCCCAGCTTGCTCTCTTTCATGGGCCCAATTAAAAGAATACACAGCTAAACCTTAACTTGTTTCTGCATTTGCAGAATGCACAGTGAGGTCTCTAGGGCACAAGAATTACTTGGGAGAGTCAGTAAATAACACTTAAAGGATTCACGAATCAACACTGACACTGGAGTTAAGCTGCAGATTCCAGTCTGCCTGACAAACTCATTGGCACTGCCCCAGCCTGACTGAGCCGCTCTAATCCCTACCGCTGTTCCCCAAGGGTGGGTACTGGCTTTGTGAGACCAGAGAGAAGGCAGGCATCCTGACCTGAAGGCAGGCTCCTTTGCCTGAAACTGCCCTTGCTGAAGGGCTTTGGGGAGCTTGTGATCCCATACAGACCAGACACTGTTGAAATCACCCTTCAGGAGAGATTAAAAGACACCAGGAAAAGAATCCTCCTTTCCTTGCCCAAATGCTAGCACCTGTCAGACTTGTGGCTGCTGCCCCTCCTCTGTGAGAGGCCTCTGCAGGAGGCTGGCAAAGGGCCAGGGGATGGGCCCACATTAATAGAAATGAAAACCCATACACTTTGTAGATGGCACATTGGAAGCTGTGGGCAGGGTTTTTTTTTTTTTTTTCTGCTCATCTGTTTTCTTTGCATTCGACTAGAAGTGGATTTCGTAGGGTAAAGAAAAAAAAGATTTTGCTTGGTGCAATCCAGGCATCACCTTCCCCAGTGACTACACTGCTTCCTAAGCCTGTTTGCAGAGGGGATTGCAGGGCTGCATTCATGCACCTTTGATATATAATCTCCATGCTGCTGAGTAAGCAGCCCTGCCCCAGAGGACCATTAGCAGCTTAAACGGTTTGCTGTAAGAAGGGGCTCAGCCAAGGAGGGGATACTTTTACTCTACTATGACACACACCTGTGCAAGAGAACAAGCCCTCAGGCAAGGTACACCTTTTCACTGAGGTTTGTCTTTGTAATATAGGGACTGGCAGACACCCAAGCCTAGAAGTAGAGGGAGAGGATACCTACCCAAAGACAGAGAAAGCCTACCCTTCCTGGCCAGATGATTTGGTGAGTGGAGATGAGTGTTTGGGCCTCCACACATTTAAACCTACCTCCTGGATACAGCCTTGTCAAACACAAAAAGCCATTTCTGTTCCCCTTTGCAAGAGGAAGAGCACAAGCAAGGCATATGGGGGCATTATGGAATTGTGAATCTGAATTATGTATGGATTACATACTGTCCTTTGCCAATGCAACACTGCTTCCTTGCTCTGGAACAATATTGACCAGCACAACATGGAAATGAGCAGTGAGATACTGCTTGGTAATCCCTCTGGTTCCCACAGCAGTCTGGTACAGAATTTTGTAGCAGTTTGTGTTTTATGATACCACCAGATTTTCAGCAGGCCATAGATGAATATACTGGCGAGATCACACTGCCTTGAGGGAAGATGGGGAAGACCTGGGAAAGACTGGGCTTCGAGTCTTTGAGCCAAGGAGGCAGCAGAGGTTTTCCCTTTAGGTATGCCTCCTTTTCTTGTAGACGAGAACAGTCGCTTAAAATCTGTGGGAGAATGATGGACTAAAACATAGGACGGGACTTCAGTTCAGTACTGGCAACAACAGTCAGCCACCTTACTTGTTTCCTGACCACCTCTGCCCAACCTTTATAGCCAAACATGTTAAAACGACAGTTCTGCTAAAATGATCAGCTATTGAAGAGGTAAAACGTTGCTGTCTTAGGGAAGCATTTCATATCTAATTTTATCTTTGAAGAAGCTCCACAGCTTCAAGCAGACAGTAAGGCACAGTGTTATGTTTTTAAAGTTTAATCCATCAACAAAAAGATGAAAAACTTTCCCTCACTCTCTTCCTGACAGTGTAAAATCTGGGGCATAATTACAGAGGAAGTTCCACAGAAATGCAGAATGACTGAAAATCTAGAGCTGTACCACTCACAGGAGTCTTACCTAGGGCTCTATTGATCCCCTGATCCTTTGCAAGTGCCATAAGGAATCCATAGAAGGTCAGTCTCTGTGCACTACTCAACATTTCCTTCACAAGAGCAGAAGGTGGACAGCTAGGAAAAGAGAGACAAAGGGGTCATCTTGTCTTTTAAATTATCATCATCTGTTTGTTTTTTTTTCCCAAGACCCAGCTCAAACTGCAGAAATAAACCCTTTTACCTGTTCTAACACTGTCAAGTTGCCCTGACTCAGTTTAAAACAAATAGCCACCAGCTTGCTTATTTAGCATTGCATCTGCTCCTCATTTGCTAAGCAAGATGTTTGAGCTGGGATACATCCCTCAGAGCAGTCTTACCTGTCTCCATTCCAAGGACAGGGAGAAAAGCCTAGATTCACTCAGAGGCATACACATCCCAACTCTTAGCATATTCTTTCAAAAATCAGCTGGGAAATCCTTTTTTTTAGAAGATGATAATCTTTCATGAGGGTTGTTACATTGTTATCACCCTTTTATCAGTGATAGTCATCCTAGGGGCAGGAAAACCTCTCCAATGATAGCCTAAATATGTCAGAAAACAATATTTAGGTGGGGACTAAATTGACATGTCCTCTTCTTCTACACTCACCTTAACCCCTGGCCCTGACTTCTAAGCAATATCATCATAGTGATTCTTGCTCTTGCCTAATACTTGTTAAAGGATTTCATGCAAAATACAACTGCCTCATGAAGAGGAAGTGTTGAAGAGCCTGTGGTGTAGTGGCACCCCTGGGAAATGTGGATGTGGGCTGGTGATCCCTCAGGCAAAGGTGGTTACCAAAGCCTGGCTGAGTGTTGAGTTACTGGATGAAAGGCTGGGAATGGCTCCCCTCACAGTGCTGTGCAGAGCCTCACCTACCAGACGGGCTCACAGTATCCTTCCCATCTGAAGCTCTCAGGACATACAGGGAATGTAGAGCTTTTGTTATTTAAAAGAACAAAAGGGCCTGGCATCCCCATGCTTAGCTATCTATAGGACTGGACAGCAGTTCAGCAGTAATTTTGTGGATCACAAATTAGGATTCAGGCACCTAAAGCAGGAATCAGGTGGAACTTGTCTCCTGAGTCTTTTTGTGGATCTAGCCCATGACCTTTTAGCAGGGCATACGCTTGCTATCTGCAAGAAACTATGAAGAAAGTGTCTGTCAAAGCTATACAATAAGGTCTGGTATTGCTCCATCCCCTGCT